ATCAAGCAAAGCAGGGAAATTTTGAATGGCTACTACTGTACAAGCAACACCTAAAATGCCAAAATTTAATAATGTTTAAAAACAAGCTGAAGAAGTATTATGATGAAAGTGCAAAAAGGTCAAAGGTATATTATCCAGGAACGTACACTGTCACACGAAAAGTTTTGCTGGTTGCACAAGTAGTGGTGGTGCGGCTTGACAAGTTTCAGATTCATGTTTTATCTCGATGGACCAAATATCAAAGATTAAGTTCATAATTCGAGGTGGGTAATAAAACTGAATAAACTTGTGTGAAGAGGAACCTACCTGCCAAACCACAGGTGTGTGTACATTCTGACCACGCTGACCATTCAGACAGCTGGCAGTTGACAGGGCATTCCACCACGCAGGAAGCATTCATCTGCCACTTCCTCTCTAGGCCCAGCTGCAAGGAAAACTCATTGGGTTTCATTAATTTATTCAAAATATTTACAACAAATGCCATGAGACAGACTTTGATATGTCTCACCTCTTTACAGAAGCTGAGGTCAACAGATTTCCCGTCGCTGCGCACGCAGTCGAGCATCCGGGTTTTGATGCCGTACCCACAAACCGCTCTCTCACTGAGCTGACAGGTGCTCCAGTCTGAAAGGACACATGGGATTAACGGCATGTCACTTTAATCCCTGTGAGAGCTGACCGCGCTGTTTGTCCACCTCACCTGTGATGTTGTATGAGTAGTGAAAGCAGTTGCTGTTGATTTTACATGGTTCTGTCTCTTTTGTAGAAGGACATTTTTTTTCTTTTCCAGGTCTCCGGAGAGGGTAGGCAACCCTGACACGTGTAGTGTTCTCACTGCAGGGCTGCAGGCAGAGGAAGCATCTTAAATACATAATATCTGCAAAAAACTGTTCTCCTTTTGAGATGTAGGATCAAAAACAAAAAATACATTTATTTTAGCTGTTTGATTGGCTCCTAAACATTATCTAGTGAAGATAAGACCTAATCTTAACAGAAATATTAAACCTTTATTTCTTTAGAGAAGGAGAAATAAAGCTCTCCTCAACATGATACTATAGGCTTAGACTGCTGGAGGACACAGAGACCTCTTTTTCATCATTTTGCTTCATTCTATCATTCTGCAGAATCTGTTAGTTCAATCTCTAACGTTCTGCTCTCTCTGCTTTTTCTCATAGTAGCTTCATCTGGTCTGTTCCTG